CTAATTCCACACAGTTAGTGGGATACGGAGGTATTCAGCTGGCCCAGTGTGGTTCTTTGCTTTAGGGTGATATAGCCTTAACAATCCAATGACTATATTGAGTAGAGCTCTATTAATAGTAGTGGAAATATAGATACCTTGTTAATGTACAGGTACCTGAATTTCAAGCCCCACCCTTCATTTCCCTCTCTCTATTAAATATCAAGATGTTTGGATATTTGTAGATTCAAAATCAACAAAGAAACAAGCATAAAGATCTAACTGGGATTCTCTATTTAAAGTGGTGGTTTTGAACTACTATGCAAACCTATCCATTATCCACCTGGGAAAAATGGCACTGACTGAAGAACCCCAGGTTCCTCAGTATAACTTGATGGCCTTGCTAATGTGCTCAGATCCCTATGTACTGCTATGTGGTGCCTCTTTCTCATAAAATGTTGAAGCCATGTGTTTTGTATCTTTAAACAAGACTGCTGTATAACAGTTGGACAAATAACTTATGAGCTTCTAACAGATACTATATTTTCTTTCACCGTAACTTAAATTATCTGATCTGAATGTAACAGTTTACAGCTCACGGGGCCCTGCCTTTTCCTATAGGAAATGAAAGGGATAGTAGAGCCATTGGCCAACTTTTAATATAAGGTGTGAAATAAATCTGCTCTTTTGATGATATTACAGATCATACGATATATTGTGTTTTATTTATGCGACTATTTTATATGAGCAATTGTATGACCATGAATCAGCCAGTTGTAACCTTGATGGAACAACTATATCCTGGAAAGGGATACATCTTTATTTGGCCACAAAATTGCAAATCTGATGAAAATTTAAGTATGGGATGACAGAAAAACTTGGGAAGTATGGGCATACTTCTTATTTGACCATTAGCAACGCTACATGCAAGGAGACATCTGAAGCTGCCCTTTGATTTTGTAGGGGCAAATCTAGTTGCTAGAGAAACAAAAAAATAGACTTAAAAGCTGTTGTTTAGTTATTCCAGTGATTCTAAAGAATAAATGAATCCATGTATATAAGAAAAAGCTTCTTCCCTTCCTCCATCTAAGAAAAATATTATATGAAATAAAAAAGATTAAATAAGTATCTTGAGAGAACAAAATATATACATATAGAAAAAATAAGTTTTTATCTCTTTAAACCTGATTCACAGCAGATCAGGTTTTCATAAGACCTTTGGTTACTCATGATTAACATCTGTAGTTGAAAACAAAAACTCTTCTCTCACTATTTTTTCTTTGCACTTACTTAGATTCCAAGCAATTTGTTGGTATTTACATTAGAATTAGCAACGGTAATCCTAGAGCTGTCCAGGACTGTCATTTAGAAATGACTGCCCATTACTCATACAAAAGAAGTTATTTATAACTTAGTCACTACTAGACTGCAAAGAATTACAACCTGTTTATTTTAGGTTTGGTAAATTGCCCTTAGGTTGATGAGCTGTTAATTATATGTTTCTTTCTTCAACTGATGTCTCAGGGTATAGATATAATGTTAGTTATTTGCTTTAACAATTAGGAAATTGTTCAATTTGTGCTCTAATTGACTAAATTACACCTGCAGAGGTCTAAAGAATTTTCATTATCACCTGTGTAAAAGCAGCACGTGTTCTATTACCTACTCTTGTCTATTTTTCCCCAGTTTAACCCTATTGTGACCAGTTTTGTTCATATTATTACAACAAAATTGTAGTCATTTCCAAGCTTTAAACACATTTCTTATTTGAATGTATACCAACAACTACTACACTAGATCAGTTCTGTTTTATATTTTGATTTATTTTCTTTTTAGAGTTACAGTTCCAAAATGTCCACAGAAATAATCCAATACCTAGAGCAAAACACTGTAAGTAGAAGCAAGATAAAAATGTTTTCTTAGAGAGATAAAATGTACAAAGTAATTTCTCTAAACAAAATCTATAACCTCATTTTTAGAAAAAAGACATAATATCAAGTCCATTGTATATAGGAAAAAAAAAAAAAAAAAGGAGGGGGCATCAAATTTGGATCATGATAAATATTTAATAGCTATTTCCATCAGATGTATGATAAATTCTCTAGGGCAGACATCTTGCACACTGGAATAACAGACTACCTTCTGGATTTACCACTGGTTTTTAAAATAGTAAACACAACAATAAATTGAACTTCATTCATCTAGCTGAATTCAAAATTTTAATCTCTCTATATATTTAACTTTATTTCTTCCATTTTCCTAGACCACTATAAATGTTCCTCTTGGTGTAGCTGGTGTAGCTGGACAACAGCGTAAAATTAAAACTAAAGCTTCACGGAAGAAAAGGGGTAATAAATTATTTTCCGTGTCAAATAGGATTTTATTTTTGTGTTGCAGGCAAAATTTATCAAAGAAAAAATAGTTTTAAAAAAAAAAAAAAGACAATTTGTACCCATATAATATTTTCAACTAATTTATAACTCACATAATTCCCATGTGAGAAGCAAACAAATTTAGTTACTACATTTCACTTCAGAGGTGTTATGTTATCAAGTAACTTAGTAGCTTCTTTTGTTCAGGGCCAGATCCAGAAGGCCAATATTACACTGGCACTTCAGAGTGGTGAATGGGCCCCTTCTGGGACCCATAAAAACATCTGACAGATAGTAGTGGTCACTGGTCTAAAACAGGGATTCAGCAGCCTACACAACATCTGTCACTGACATCATATTTCATCGTATACATTGTACATTCTGTCTCTCTCTGCTGCTGGTGTGGGTAGGACTTCTTAGGTTTGCGAACTGAGAAGGGAGTCTGAAAGTAACAAGTAGAGGAATGTAAAAAAGATCTGCCAGCTATCTCTGCTATCTTTTAGAGCTACTTCCTCAACAAGATTTGAGGGAGCATATTACTTCTCTTCCTGTCTCATGGTCAATTAATATCATATTTTGTTTTTTGATTGTCTGAAATCTGTAAGCCCCTCAAAAATACATTTCCAACAGCTTTGGATAATGGCTGATGGCATTCCTCACTTGTGTAGTCCCATTGTTTTTATCAGAAATTGTTCTTGAGGAGCTGTAGTGTAAGTATTTAAATATAGTAAGTATGACCTAAATTTCAGAGAAATATAAGATAAAAAAAAAAATCAAACGTGCAAGTAATTTTTAAATCTACAGGAAAGTGTGTATTGGAAAGAAGTATTTTAGTAGATTTAACCTTATTTTAGGAAGTAATGATAAAAGTTTAAAACTAGTAACCACAGTGTGTTTATTGGTACTATTTTCTAATAAATTGGTACTATTTTGTAATAATGATGAAATGCTTCTTTCATTTGTCTCTTAATCTTGTACCTAATCCTACATTCTAGTTTGTATTTGCATATGCTAAAAGATAGTGAGCATAATGTCTCCTTCACAATGATCTTCTCTGCAATGATCTTTTGGTTTCCAGTCAGGATCTTTAAGTATTGCAGCAATGATGATGACTTGACATAGAGGTGCACTGTTCAGAAAACTATCAAGAAAGCAAGTCGTTCCAAAGATTGTGCTGAATTAGGTTGATTTTCTTAGTAACTCTGCCACCTGCAGCACTAAAGAACAAATGTCTCCATGATGGACAGGTCAAACATGTTTTTTCATAAGCTGCCCACAGCTGTTCTTTCTTTTCTTAGTGAATTAACCACTTCATTGCTGTTCATTCATGCATGTGTCATTGTAGGTTTAAGGAGAATGTGTATTCATTGAATGGAAAATGTAGCTTGAAGGTCTAGTCTTACTGAATCAGCCTCATTATCTTGAACCTACTGATATGTCTTTTAGTACTGAAGGAACTACTTAAGTCTTTCACTATATGTATATGTGAGAACATATGAAGTTACTTAGAAAAAAATAAATAAATAAAATAAAAAATTGAATAACCAGTGCTGGCAAGATGGCAAGATCACCAAGAAAAGGTAACTATGATATTTATTTATTTATTTTTGGTAATTTAACTGTATGTCCTATGCCTTTGACAAGCATGTCAAAGGAAGTATTAAGTGATGAAAATGAGACCTAGAATATAAGCTTTTTTTTTTTCCCTAGCGTAGATAGTGGGGAAACCTGATAATGCACGTTAAAGCTATGAGGTAATCTAGAACTAATTATAATCTGTATGCCAGAAAATGAAACTTAATAGGTATTAACAACAGAAAACACTGTATGTATTATAAAATACTCTTCTGTGTGTCACTTGGACCAGATGTTGGTTGGGTATTCATGTATAATTTAAGTTCATTACAGTCATACTAATATAGGAAATTATCTATTGCATTATAGAATGTTTGCACATCAGCTAGGGAGACTAGCTGTACAATTCTAGAGGTCATATAGCCAATAAAAAAAAAAAATAATAATAATAATAATAAATTAAAATCCTTAAATAATGAGAAATGGCTAATTCAGTGTTCCAAGAGTTATCCTGCCATTACTTTTATTTGTTCCAAAGTTCTTATGTTAATTCTAGGATGCTTTTCATGAGTAGAGCAATACGAGAAAATGTTTAAATCTTTTTGCTTCATCCTTTCAAGTCTTTACAATTCAACCTATTTCATTTGTTCATTTTCAAATCCATTTGCAAATTAGTTTTCTTTCAAAATATTTCTGAAAATTCATAGAAGTTTTAGGGGTGGGGTTGAGGATGTGTTTATTATTATTAATATCCACTTGTAATTAGTGTCATTCTTCCCTTTACTGGTAATTCTAGGAGATATTTAAGATTTCACAACATTGTAAGGAAGAAAAGTAATGATCACTCACAAATTCCTGATTTTTAATATATTTTTATTTTAATGTATTTTTAATGTATATGAGGGATTGTAAAGTCCTCCTTATGCAAAAAGATTCAATTGCAAAATGTTGTTTAGCTTTCTTCAAAAGTAAATTAGGCCATCAAACTTTATTAAAAAAAATAAATAAAAAAAAAATCAAGTTAAAAACTCAATTAACCAAGAAAATACTAGTAATAATAATTTGTCTACTTACCAGACCTGGACTTGTAAATAAATTAAATTGAATTTTTGTCTCCTCATCTCATAACAAGTTTTCTTGCTTAACTGCAGTTGTCCTGATATCCCAGTCTCTAATGAATTCTGCCAAAGGCCTGCTGGCCGTGGTTCAGCTTATTTGAAATATATATAAGCAACAGTGTGAGGTAATGAGTTCAGCTTCTAGCAATACTCTAATAGCAACTGACTGAACATGTTTTCAAATTGTACAGCTGAGTTACTTTCCACAAATATGGTCAGATGCATGCCTATGTCTTTCTAGACCTGAAGTGGAATGAACAGTTGTTTTCAAACTTGTAAATACTCAGTGCTCTATAAAGCTTTTCAATAAACAGCATAACGGATGTGATATTCTTAGCAGTAGTTACTGAGCAGTTGTGAAGCCATCTAGCTATGGGATCTTCACTCCCAACATCCTCTCAAGAAGCCACTACACTGTGGTGTGCTGACATAGTGAAGAGGGACAGTGAAAATATGTCCAGTTAAGCTATATGTCATCAACAATCTTCTTCCAGGATCTCCCTTGCATTTAAACAGTAACTTTCCATTGACAAACACTTAACCAAAGTAGAAGCTTTGTCTGCATTTATGAATATGCTTCTTCTTCTCATGCAGCAAAGAAGAAAAGACTTTAAGTCATTGTTTACATTGTTTTGTCTACACAAATTTCCGAATCCTGTCATATAAGAACAAGTGTCTTTGTGGATTTTCAAAAAAATAAATAAATAAATAAATCAGAGAAATAAAATGAAATGCTATAAAACATTCATCTGGAAGGCTGTCAATGCCTATTCTAAGATTTTATCATATTTCCACAGATCATTTGATCAAAATAACAAATGTTTGCTTTCAAACTTTATTCTAATATTTTTACTTTATCTAACTCTTGAAATGATAGACATGTCTGCTTCCAAGAGATTATTGTTTCCAACAGAACTGTTCATCATTTGACCATTACCATGATAGTACTTCTGTCTGAGGATCCAGTATTATGTGATAGAAATTCCTGTGAAATTAGCAGAGAATGCAATGAGAGCAGGAACAGGTCCAAATAGCAAAGTAAATTAAAACTAAACAAACCCAAATAGTATTTCTATTATACCAAAGAACATTATAAGAAAAAGAGTTCCTGTGGCATTAGCTGAATCAGCAGGGTGTTGCTTCACATTATTTAAGTTTATTACTTTGGACATTGTTTTGTCTATCACAGTATTTCATGCTTGGAGAGAAAGATCTTTTAAGGTAATTCACAAATTTTACATTTAAGCAGTGATTTTTTGCAGTATATCTCAAGGAAAAAATGGCTTGAGCTCAAGCTGTAATTAAAAGGTTTCTTTTATCATCTCTAGCACAGTCCAAAGTGAATCTAAAGCAACAGAAAGCCTGTTAAACAGGATAGCATACGGTAACATATATTTTTTTGAAAGCAGTTTCCCAGTTTTCATAATCTCATATAAATCTCATATAATAAACATCTGTGCCAATGCTTGTGGACTCTCTAATGTAATGCGAAATCTTCCAGCAGGAGTAAGCAAGCATGATAAAGCAATTAATGCTATCACTGTCTTTGTTGACACTTGCCAAGTAAAGTACAAAGAACAAATTATTCCAGGTAACTTATTCATAGAAGGATCAAGAATCAGTGTGTTTTGATTTAGCCAAGCTGAATATCACTATCTGCATTTAGAATAAAGTCCTTATAATTGAAGTGAGCAAGTTCCTTCATAGGCACTATTTTAACAAGTCAAGAGTGGATATTTTAGATGAGTAAAATTAATAAGATGGACAAAATTAATAGGCATTTTCTTAGAACAAGTTATATAAGTAAGTGTTTTACACTGTTGTGTGCACACAAATTAGAAGTTGAGTGCATATTGGCAAATATTGGGTCCCAAACAGTCATATTTAAAATGTGTTTTGTTGTTGCTGTTGTTGTTGTGTTTTGCTTTTTTATTTAAATTTTAATTTTTAGGGCTGACCAAGAGATCACTGAAACAGAAAACAAATTTATTTATCTGTGTATAGTCCTACTTAAAATCGTTATAGTCATAAATAATTGTGTTTTAACACAGAGTGTTTGCTTATTTATTCTATCATTCATTAGTTCCGAGTAAACACTAGGACTTTTTAAAAATTCCCCATTGCCCATCATAGTCAGAAGGTTTAGTTTAGTGCAGTGTTTCCAATATCGGTAATGTTTCACAGGGATGTAGTAGGTAATTTAGCCACTTTTAAAATGTCTAAACCAATGGATTGCTGAGTTTGAACGGTTTCTCTACAGGGAGAACTTGTTTGCATGAAATAAAGGTTTACAGTGTTTCATCCACTTGTATTCAGAAATGTGGACAGTTCTTCAGTGATCATGGTTCAGCAAAGGAGATAATTTTTTTCAATAAATTAGGGCTAAAATGACTTCTAAACTGATTTATTTTTCCAGACTAGCAACAGAATAGTTCATTCAATTACAATAGAAGAGAAATATATTCAATCTATGACAATATTATTATTATTGCTATGGAGTTAATTAACATTCATTCATTCTTAACAACTTCTCAGGTTGGCCTGAGAATGTTTGTTATTTGTTCCAAATCCATTTTGTTTTCATTTAATTTGTGTTACATTTCCTCTATGGTATAAATGGCTTGATTACTCTGAAAATATTCCATTATTCTCTATTTTTCTAAAAAAAAAAAAAAAAAAACAGGTCACAAACTCATAGAATTTAAAGGCACATTTCTTCAGATTTCCAGATGTCTGTGTACCTGTATGTCCTGGAGGTCGTATTGCTCAAGGGATTTTTGTGGGTTTGGCTCTTCCACTTCTCTATTTAACAACACTTGGCAAACAGTTTTACTAGTTTTACTATGGTTCTGTTTTGTTTTGTAATTGGGCAGAGTAGCTACAGCAAATCTTGTAACCAGTATGTTAAAAGGTTAACAAAATACACAAAGCATGTTCTTGCTGTCAGAGGAGATTCGCAATGTCCTGTTTTTGTTAAAAGTCATGTGAATCAAATCTTCTCTAATTTGTAAGTCATTGTGAGAAAGTGGTTTACTTTAAGATTGTGTCAAAATAGCATTTTAGAGTTCCATGCAGATTGGGTCTCATAGGTTGCAACATGAGAATCTTCTTAGATGGTATAAGCCTTTCAAGTTACCTCTTGCAATGTCAGGTGAGGGAAGTGGAGGAAGGTGAAGTACTAAAGGCTTATGCCTAGAGAGGGCTCCGAGCAAAATAAATCCATAGAGGGGAATTTTCTTCACCCTTTGTCTTCTTGTGAACAAATTTGTGAACAAATAAAATTTAATGAGTTTTAAATAAAAATACTTTATAACATTCTTTATAACATTTTAAATAGCTTTCTTTATTCTTGTTGGCAAACTGTGCTTGTCCTTTGACAGTCATTTCCTTCCCAAGGAGTCAATATGAGCAGATAAGCACTCACAAAAGCACAGTAACCTCTGGCACACCTTTGTGTTGTTTTTTTTGTTTGTTTGTTTTTTTGCTTTTTCTCTATAATTTCCCGTATTGAAGATGAACTTCAATAAATATGAATTCCTGTTTAGCTTAATCTTGGATGAAATAAATGGATAATTCTCTTTGCAGTTTAGCCTATCTAAAAATTCAAATGACTACCAAATTTAACAGGATTCGTACTATTTAACATTACCAATACCACAAGCTACTGGATAATCTTAAATTCTGTGCTAGTATGATTTTTATATTTCCAAGAGGCCAGGGCTTGATCAGATGTTCCATCTCTGGTCTTATTATTTTATTCTATCATGGGCAATTTACATACATTCAATGTATTTTTTCAACTTTGCTCACATCTTGAGTATATCTGATGATTTCATAAAGAAAATAGATATAATGTACATTTGATACAAAATGTGTATCAAAAAGCCATGGATCTCTCTTTCAAGAAATGAAGGGGAAAATCTGCTTCTAATTAATGTCAGTACTTTGATGGATTTGGCACTGCTACCTCATGTTGATCCTGGCAACATTTATTCACAGAAATGGGTTTATAAACTATAATCACTTCAATCTTAACTTTTCCTTGTATTGTTTATTTACATTGTGGTAGTATCTAGAAACTTTAATCGACGCCAGACATGTATTAAGAGACTTATACACCGTATTTCATCCAAAAGAGTCAGTGTCCTGAGCTAATAGTTAAATGTATGGAGGGAAAGGAGAGGAGGAAGAAAATCTTTAGGAAGTGAAGTCATTGGATGCTGTCACACAGCACACCCAAGTGCTGGTCAAGAAAAGAAAGATCCTGGTTTGAAATTTCTGTGTAGTGCTTTATCAACAGGATCATGTTCTTAAATTAGTAAGATTTGCAGATGACACCAAGCTATATGATGCAGTTACCATGCTGGAGGGAAAGGATTCCATCCATAGGGACTTGGGCAGGCTTAAGAAGTGGGTGTGAGCAAACCTCATGAGGATCAACAGGGATAAATGCATCTGGGCTGGGGAAATCCCAAACATGAATGATAGGTTGAGAAATTAGTGAATACAGAGAAACTCTATCAAGCTGGACTTGGAGATGTTGGTGGCTGAAAAAAACTGAATAGGGACAAGCAACATGCACTTGCAGCCCAGAAGGCCAACTGCATCAAAACTTAACCGCATCAAAAGAGGTGTAGAAAATAGGTCAAGGGAGATATTTTTTCCCCTCTACTCTGCTTCTGTGAGACCTCTTCTTGAATAATGCATTCAGTTCTGAGGTTCCCTGTAGAAGAAAGTATTGGAACTGTTAGAAGACATCCAGAGGAGAGCCATGAAGATGATCAGAGGGCTGGAGCACTTCTCTTATGAAGACAGGCTGAGAGAGCTGGGGTTGTTCAGTCTAGGTTGTTCAGATAAGGTTCTGGGGAGCCCTTATAGCAGCCTTTCAATAAATAAAGGAAACTACAGGAAACATAGGGAGGGCCTCATAACTGGGGAGTGTACTGATAGGATAAGGGGCTTTAAATTAAAAGAGGGTAGAATTTGGCTAGATATGAGATATATTATATATATATAAGATAAAGGCTGTGGATGTGGTCTACCTTGACTTCAGCAAGGCTTTTGACACCATTTCCCACGGCATTCTCCTCAAGAAACTGGCTGCTCGTGGCTTGGACTGGCGTAT